TGAGGCATGTCTAAGGTTTGAAACATTCCCGAGTTTTGGGGCATTCCTAGGTTAACTCTCGTACTCCGTTGTATCGGAGAAGTACCGACCCCATTCATATTATTAAACGAAAACTCAGGCGGTCTTACACTCACATATGGCCCTGCATATGTTGTTATGGGTTTTCCCGTAGTTTGCATATTGTTTGACATTACAGTACTAGACCCTAACTGAGTATTTGCTAACGGACATGAGTTTTGTTCATTACTCACAGGTATCAACATACTCGCAGTTGTCGATATTACAGGCATACTCCCATTGTGAATTTGCCCCCCAGTGTTTGGTGGATTCGGACTATTAGGAATCTCACTATTACCCTGACTATTTGGTGGATTTTGACTCATTCTTACTACTCGTCCACTCCTTAGTTTCATACACTCATCGAACTAGCCAGACTTTGTGTATAATACACAATATCCCCTACCTGGCGCGCCAATTTGTTTCTGGTGAAAATTTGATCGATTTCGATTAAATCGAGACTTAGGTTCTAACCAAATTTTAACCACGTAGATTCTTTTTATTTATGCTAGCAAACGGTTTTCAATCGAAAAATGCATGAGAATCGAGAATCTCTTAATGTAGGACGGCATGACCTAAAGTACATGTTTTTTATGTTTTTCTTAAGAAATGCGAAGTAAAGAAAGTGTCGAATCGAAATAGCAGTGCGGAATATTAAATTGCAGGGAAATGTAAAAATACGGAAACCTCAAATTTGCATTGAATGTAAATGGTAAGAAATAGAAAATACGGAAATGACACGGATTTTAAACATATAACCTTAACTTGCATAAAAATAAATGACAAGGAATCGAAAGTGCATAAACTTAAAGTTGCTAAATGTAAACTGCATCAAAGTAAATTACATAAACATAAATTACCAGGGAAAGTAGAGAAAGCGGTAAAGATAATCAATGAAAATGGAAATCCAGAGAATTAGAATCTTCAAGATGCGTCGTTATCCTGTAGACTGTTCACTTGCGCTTCTGTCGTCTCTGCCAATTTCCCCTTCTTCTTCATGCTTCGTTCTATTTATAGGGCGCCCTTCAGATAACCTCCTAAGAGCAGTTAACAAAACTGCCACCACGACCCATCACGATTTCTCTTAGTGTTACGGTTTAAAAACTGTCTCCCATGTTCTAATGCAAGGGATAACTGCCTCTTTGATCTTCGTCATCCTTAGTCTAGAAATGACTTCTTATGTTCTATGTGCGTGTTAACCGTTCCCTCGATCTTGATTTCAAAATCTCGAGAACTTTGCATTGCTTTTTTGATTCCCCTTAACCTTAACATTACATGATTCTAATTCCTCGATTTTCTTCAACAATAGACATTAAATATTCCTCCTTCGATTTTTTGATTCTAATTCTCGATTTATGTGTCCATACTGTTACATGGTCATTAAATGTTTTCCAACCATCTTTTCACTTCATCAGTTTTTTAAACCAATCATATGATCCTCGATTTTTTCCTTCCTTCGTTTTTCGATCTCTTTATCGATTTCCTACTAACACATAGTAATTATAAATTTAGTTATATATCAATAAATAAATTTTGAATAGAGAAAGTGAAACATAAATTCCATCTGAAACATAAAAATTTATTTATGTTAAAATATAATAAAATTATTTAATAAGTAATATTTTTATTATATAGGTATTATGTAATTATTCAACCTCTATTATTTTATCCAATTATAATTATTACGTGTAGATTTTTTTAAACTTTATTTATTTTCTTTTATTAACTTTCAAATGGATCTTTCATTCATGTACTATTCTTAAATTTTTTTCATTTTATTTATTTTACTTTAATTTCTAAAATTTTCAAAACAAACAACTGAAATTTTATTAATTTAAAAAATAAAACAGAAAAATACATATTTTTATTGCATATATAAATATTATAAATAAAAAAAATATAGATTACTATAATAATATTATTATTATTATTTTAATTTATTTAAAATAATTTCCATTATCATCCATTCTTATTTGTGTGAGTTTTAATGAAAAATAAGTGAATAACATTTTTCATATAATTTAATTTTATATTTTTAACGTTAAAAGGTTTGCTAGAAAATCGAAAATAGAAACATTTTATTTTGACACCCATTCTTAAAAACATTCGTTCTACAATTTATATTTTAACTACACGTCTTAATATATTATTATTATTTATTATTATATTATTTCTTTTAATTATTATTTATTATTATATTATTATTTTAATTGTTTATTGAATGTATGGGGTGTCAAACTCTTGAAAATAGTATTTTCTTCATGTAAGGTTGATAGGAATAGAAAAGCGTGTGGACGGACTCTCTCTGACCTATGAGAGATTCGTGTCAATCTTTTTTTTTTTTTTTAAAGCAATTAACTTCAATCCAGTTTTTTATTATAAATAATTAAGAGTCATTCTTCCTTCAACCCATCCTAATATTGATCTAAAATATAATATTAATGTAAATAAATTATAAATTTATTTTTTATAAACTTTTTAGAATAAGTTTTCTAAATTATTTTAGATTTAGCTTTCAAAAGCTTCTTGGAAATATTTAAAAAATTGATCATAGAGTGACTCTGAAAAGTTTTTAAATAGGTTGATTTAATTTTTTTTTTTGGAAAGTTCATTATAGAAATATTTTGGACTGGATTGACTTTTGGAAAGATTTTTCCGAAATACAATGAAATTTTGTAAAAATTTTCAAAACAACATACCTGGACAAATAAAATATACAATATCGTTTATGTATTCATTTTTTTGTTACACTACGTCTCTTAATATTACTTATTATGATTTCTCAAATTTCTAACAAATATTAATAGATATTAAATAAAATATATTTTATATTTTTACATTTTTAATGTTTTTCACATTTTTCATGTGCCTTTATTATTCATCACAAAAAATCATTATTAAGATCTTTGCTCAATGTGCCACTTTTTTCCATGTCTTGTTATGTGTTGAGTCTTTGGACTTCGAAGTAGGATCAAAGGCAGATTAGGGGAGGCCAGGGCCACAGACCCTCCCATCCCATTTTTATTTTTATTTTTATACAATATTATTTCTTAAAATTAAATAAATTTTGTTTTATAAATATAAATAATTTTTCATTTACATTTTTTCTCTTTCTTCTTTTTTAATTTTTTATTTTAATTTTTTTATTATACATTATTTTTTATCTTTTTTTTACTATTTATTTATTTTCATATTTTTTTTATAATTTCATCTTATCACATAAAATTTTTATAAGTTTTTTTTAGTTTTCAAGTTTTTTTTTTAAGTTTTATCTTTATAACATAAAATTTATAAATTTTTATCCTTTAATTTTATTTTTCTCCTTTGAAATTATAAGACAAAAAATTAAAAATATAAAAAATACCTGACTATAATTTTTTTAAAATAAATAAATAATAAATAAATGTGGTTTTTATTTATTATTATAATAAATTAACATATATAATATAATATTAAAATACAAAAGATTGATATAAATTTTTTATTATAAATTAAATATTTATTTTAATATTTTATGATATTTTATTTTAATACTAAAATATTAAAAAATTAGAAATATTTTTTGTTATAATATATTTATTTTAAAATAATAATTAAATTTTATATATTTAAATTTTTTTATTCCACTCTAAACAGGACTACTAGACAAATGTGCTCGGTGCAGTGGTTGCTTATCTAGTGTATTGATATCTGCATCATATATCATCACGACCCACCCAAAGCCATGGTTATGAGACCATGCTATACAAGTGAATTTTATATTTTTAAAAAGAATTTTAAATATTAAATATAAGTTAATTTTATTTCATGTTTCAAATATTTTATTATTAATATTTTTTAAAATAAGGTTTAAAATTATTAAACTATTACATAATCGTTTAAAATTTGAAGTGAATTGTAATTTAAATATATCATTCATTCTTAGTTTATTCAAACGTATTTTAAAGACAGATTCTATGAAACATTAATTTAAAGATATTAATAAAAATACAGCTTTTGACAATAATAAAATAAAAAATAATCATAACTTTAATATAAAAATAAAAAAATAAGAATAAAAATATTTTGACACCCATTTTAAAGTAATATTTTTTATTCATTGATAAAAAAGAATGAAATAAAATAAAAATTTAATAATAATATAAAAAAATTATGAATAGATATTTGATAAAAGGATTCTCAATATATTATTATTTAAAAAATTAAAAAGAAGAATATATAAAAAAATTCAATTTTATTATCTAATTTTAAATAACTGAATCAATATAATAAGCTTTTATAATCTTAATTTATTCTAAAAGGTGCATGCTGCCATAAGTATATTATTATAGAGAAATGATATTTTAATAATTAGAAAAAATGATACTTTGAGAATTTCCTTTAGATAAATAATTAATAGATAACTTTTGAACTGAGAGTAAGAGAGAAAAATATTTTTCTTTTATTATCATTATTATCTTGATAGAAGAGATTGTGACATGTTTTTTTTCTTAGTTTTGATTATTTATATATTATTGCTCCTTAGCCATGAACTGTGGAATAGCAGATGGATTTTGGAAGAGGCGAAGAAGTATGGTTTGTAAGCATTGAATCACCATGAATGGCCCATAAAAGCGTTTTGAGAGCTTAGGATAGTGTTTGCCACAAATTGTTGGTACCAGGGACGGAGTTTGACGTAGACCCTAAGCCCTAACGCCCAAAACTCAAAACCATTGGAATGGAGTCCGGTGAACAAAACAGCCCAAATATTGGTGGAGAATGCGGTTAGGGACTTCCGTCATTGGATGATAGGAAGTGCTCTGTGTTGCTTAAAATCAAAATGAGCGTGCCAAATATTTCAGGCGATTTTAATTTCTCATTAATTGATGATGATAAAACAAAAACACAAAGACGGAATGGGAGAAAAAAAGAAACGTTTAAACGATGATAGGATGGATATTTGTCTAAGCTGAAAATTTGGGAGAGCACTCTCGTTGAACGGCCTTCATGAGAAGACTATCGTGTTCGAGGGCCATCTGAACGGGGAGAGAGCCAAGGCCATTGGCCATGGCAAGCATTATCTCCTTCGTTTCCTCCTTGAACTCTTCCATGTCAACCCTCCCATTCAGGTCGTGGTCGAATTGCACGAACAGGGACTCGTACACACGTGCCAACTCCTCCGGCTCACGCTTCACGTCCACACCAAAATGGCTCTCCAACACCCTCAGCCTCTGCAACTCCTTCAGCATCTCCGCGTACGACAGAAGCCCGTCCTTGTCCGTGTCCAGCTGCCGGAACAGCTCCCTCACACACACTCCGAACGCTTCCTCGTCCTCCACGAACCCCACTATGGTCGCGCCGTCTAGAATCTCCACACTCATTTTCTTCTCACTACTAAATTTCAACCAACCCTATGCCTGTCTTGGTTTGGAATAACAACTTGTGTTCGTTATTTCAGGTTTATATAGCAACTAGTAGCATAGTTTGTTGATGTAATTATAAGTTAAAACCTAATTAGTTTCACTTTTTGTGATCGTTGTTTGCTTTTCAGACGTAGATTTTGAATTGGAATGCTTATGGACCAAGTTTTTACACGTTTTCCATTAACGCTGGTTAGTTTAGTGGTGTTTTTTTACAGCTGAATAATGGGGTTTTCCTTTGACACACATACCAATAGGAAGAAGGGTTATTGATTTGAGTCGGTGGGCTTCATGAAAACGGTGGGCAAATGCATAAATGTGAAGTTTGATGAAGATGTTTTCAAGTTCCCTTAGTCTTAAACAGGGGAGCCCACTGGTTCTTTCACTCATTTCTGTTTCACCGTTAATACTAGTAAAACTAGAGCGTGATTTTACAGCCACTTTCGGTGCTAGAACTAGAATGCTCACAGTTTTTCAAACATGTATTCTGGAATTTACCACCTGTTTGTCTTTTTCTTGGGTCAATTGGATTACTGTTTTGCTCAGTGTTATATCTATCATGTTCGGCTGTATCTTCTTCCACCCCATTCCTTCTTTCATCACCTCATATTAATTTAAAATCATAATCTTATCCCTAATATAAATATATTTTGAAAATTTTATTCTATTTTTTTAATTAACATTTTCATCATTTTTTTCAAATCAAATTTCCAAAAAATATAATATCAAATTGAGTTCTCAATTGTATTTTCAACCTATATTTTCAAAATGTGTTTCAAAATGTATTTTCAACCTATATTTTCAGAAAATTTGTTACATCTATAATACATTTTTTAAAAACACAATTTAGAACTCAAATGATGTTTGAATAAAAGTGTAAGAAATGCACCAAATGGAGGTACAGGTGCTAAATGAAGATGTGACGCAAAAAAGGAAAAATGACTTCAAAAACAACATTTTTGACATTTGAGATACACTATGGGAGTGTGCGGAAGAAATTATTGAGGTGCAGAAGAAACAGCCATCATGTTTTCCATTATTTTGGGCCTTTGTCTCTCAGCCACTGAACCTGGCTAGAGCCCAATTAGTCTGATTGTTAATTTTGAAGTTTTGCTGGGTCGAAAACGATATGCTAACCCAAAACCATAAATTGTTGTTAGGGAAAAATTTGTTTGACAACCCTTTTTTTCTGTAAATATCTATTAAACAACAAGTTAAATTAATATAATAATAATAATAATATTTAGTATAATATTAATAATTATAGTTGTAGGTAGGTTGTTTGGATTGTTAATATGACTTTCCTCCGTATCAAGTTCCTAAATAATAAATTATCACCAAATTCCCAATCTATATTTGATTTAATTACTTTCCATTATTTATTTTGAATATTTAACCGTTTTCATTAACATGCTTTTAAGAGATAAAATTAATTAAAATTTTTAAAATCATTTATGAAACTTGAAAAATAATAAGACTCATCATATTTATATTTTAACAGTTAATAAAAAGAATATTCAAGATGAAATGGAAAAGAAAATAGGAAGCAGTTGGGAATAAAAATAGTAGAGACAGAGTCAAAGAAATAAAAAAATTATCAATATTTAGGGGGTTTAAAATTTACCGATAAATTAAATAACTAAATTAATTAAAAAGCAATCAAAACTTACTTTTCTAATTTTATTTTTTTTAAATCATATTATTTGGATTAGTTTTCGAATTGAAAATAAAAAACGAAACCAAACTTAATCTTTTATTATTATTATTATTATTATTATTATTATTATTATATATATATATATATATATATATATATATATATATATATATAATAAGTTCATTTGAGTTAAAAACTATAAAAAAAACGCATAATCAATATTCAGAAAATAATAATCAAATTTCAGATACAACAATCATCTTTAGGTTAACAAATGGAATATGAATACTTTTTAATTTTCATTTTCTTATTTTTTATTTTTATTCCTTTTAAAAAAATGTCTCTTATTATTCATTCATTTTTTATAACGTTATATCTTTTTTTATCCTATATATTTATTTTCTTCTTACCGAACACGTTTAAGAGTATAATACTAGTATTTCTTATAAAACGAAATGAGACGATAATATTAACACTAAGATGAAAACAATTTATTAACCCAAAAATATAATTAACACTATCTAAACTTTTAATTTAACTTAACTTTAAAAAATTCTTAATTTGAATTTTCCAAAAGTAAAGAGACACAAGGAAGAAAACAATGAAGGTATTAGAAAATATAATATATATTGAAATTCAAAGTTCCATATATTAGATTCATAATATTATAAATAAATTAAAAATAATTATTCATAAAAAAAATAATTAAAAGACTACCACATTGACAATATGTTGAATATTTATATTGATATAATTTCATTACCTTTAAATAAGTTCCTTTATTAAGACGATATTTTGGACCTAACAATCTACTCTTTTTTCCCCACCATATCCCATATTTAACCCGTTTAAGGTTTCTTCACTACTAGAAAATATACTTTCAACGTCGCTGTTTAACGTCGGTTACATCTTAGCCGACGTTGAACATGTTTTCAACGTCGGTTGGTCAACAACCGACGTCGAAAGTCGAATTTTGACACATTCTACGTCGTTTTAGCATGCACGACGTGGAAAAGTAGGCTTTCGACGTCGGTTATGCCCTCACCCGACGTTGAAAACCCTTCTGAACTCATTATGACCGATCAGAATACAAATATGACCGATCAGAATCGAATGTGATCGATCATATTTTAATTATGAGCGATCAGAAGTTTTTCAATCGATTAAAAACACGTTTCAATCGATTAAAATCTCTTAAAGGGTCAGGATGATCGATCAGAATCCAGTTATGACCGATCAGAACTATTTTAATCGATTAAATCTCGTTTTAATCGATTAAAACATATGACTGGAGATAAATCGAGTTTCAACGTCGGGTGTGGGTATAACCGACGTCGAAACCCCGTTTTCCCATTTGAATAGGCTACCATATGCATTTTTGTATCTCCCCTTACTCTCCAGCATCGCGCCCACTCCCCTTACTCTCCAGCATCACGGCCACCACCTACCACCGTCATTTGGACTCTCCGGACGCCCTCCCTCACGTCGCCACCGCGCACCGCGTGACACCCCGCTGCAGGCACCTCCACCCCACTGCGGCTTCCACCCCACCGCGACGCTAGTCGCCCACCCTCCACCCCCACCGCAGCCTCCACCCACATTGCATTGTCCGCTCACCACGGCCTCGACCCTAACGCCGCATTGCATCCTCCACCTCCACCCCGGTGCAGCGCTGCTCTGTTTCTCTGTGGTGCGAACCTTCATCGCTGCCTTAAACCACAGGTACGATGTTGTTGCACTTATATTTGTTGGGCAAAGTCATACAATTTTACTTACTACATTTCATAGGTAGAGATTGTTAGTCATTTGCCGTTAACTATTGATTCAATTCTTAGTCATATTATAGTTTTTTTCAATGTATTGATGATGTGTACAATTATACTTGAACTGCTTGAATATGCCCGTGGGGCTTTTTATTGTCAGGTTTCACTGTGTCATTTAAAATTGTTGCCAAAAAACAAAGGAAACTCTGCCGGATTTTTGTTAGAAATTAATCATGAAGTGTGAATTCTGAAAACTACATATAACAATGTAGTTATATAAGTGATGGTAGTAACAATGAAAACTCTATAATTTCAATTTATACAAATTTGGTTTTGACAAAAAAATAGACGAAATTCTGTTGAAATTTCGTTACAAATTAATCTACTTTGGTATAGATTTCATTAGAGATAACGATTATTAGTAATAATCGTTTTATGGATTTCTCATTTGTAGACTCCAATTCCAAAATGGATCGAAGTTGGGTAAATGCAAGTCGTATTTCACAAGAGTATGAGAATGGAGTTGAAGAATTTTTGCGATTTGCCGAACACAATGGCACCAAGGTTAATGGAAAATTGTATTGTCTATGCGTTAACTGCGTTAATGGGAGAGTACACACACTAGAGACAATACGGGAACATCTTTTATGTGATGGGATAATGAAGAATTATATCCTATGGACATGGCATGGTGAAGTGATTGATACACCAATAGTAACACAAGCTGAGGAAGAGGAGGATATGACAATGGAAGATCGAATAGAAGACATGATTCGTGATGTAGGTCAAGAGAATTTTCTGCAAGCACATGCTGCTGTCTATGATAAATTGAAGATAGATTCAGAGATACCTCTGTATGCTGGATGTACAACATTCACGCGATTGTCAGCTGTATTGAGATTGGTGAATTTGAAGGCCAAATTTGGTTGGAGTGATAAAAGTTTCACTGAGTTACTAGAAGTTTTGAAAGATATGCTCCCAAGCGATAACACCTTGCCTGATCGTATGTATGAAGCCAAAAAAATACTTTGTCCAATGGGTTTACAGTATAAAAAGATACATGCTTGCCCTAATGATTGTGTATTATACAGAAAAGAGTTTGAAAGCCTACATGAGTGTCCAAGATGTGGTGTATCGCGTTACAAATTGAAAGACAAGGATGATAATAGCGAATGTATTGATAGAAAGAGACCTCCTGCAAAAGTTATATGGTATCTTCCAATTATTCCAAGATTGAAGCGATTGTTTGCCAATGGAGAAGATGCCAAGAATATGATATGGCATTCAACTGCACAAAAACGTGATGGATTGCTTCGTCATCCGGCCGATTCTCCACAGTGGAAGAAAATTGACTGCCTATTTCCAAGTTTTGGCAGTGATGCAAGAAATGTTAGACTTGGACTAGCCACAGACGGCATGAATCCTTTTGGTAACTTAACCAGTAATCACAGCTCATGGCCAGTTCTTTTAGTGATTTACAACCTTCCACAATGGTTGATTTTCAAGCGCAAGTACGTGATGTTATCCATCATGATTGCAGG